CTTCAGTCCCTTGCCGCTCTTCTCGCCGAGGGTGGACACAAGCAGCGGCTTCACCACCTCCTTCACCTCGATGCTCACCGTCTCCCGGGTCTTGCGCTTCTTGATGGGGAGCACGGTCTCCTGCACAGAGCGGATGGAAGACTCCTTCACAGCCTTCTTCTTGGCCTCCGCAGTGGCCATGGCCACCATGCTCCCAGGCTTCCGGCCCCGCTTCTTGGGGATGGCCTGCGGGTCCGCCTCGGCTTTCCGCTTGCGGCCAGGGCGCTTGATCACCATGACCTGGGCCGATGTGGTGGCCCCACCCCCCTCGGCCTTGCCCCCGGGCGCCGCCTGGAAGGGCATCTTGACCAGAAGCTTCCCAGGGCTCTTCTCCAAGACCCTTTTCACCTGAACACCTTCGGATGCTGCCGCCTTGGGTCTCGCTGAGCCACTCCCCTTGGGGCGTCCCCGACCTCTGCCAGTTCCTGGAGCTTTGGGAGATTTGGGCTTCTTAGGTGGTTTCTGTTCTCTCCGGGAGGGGCTCCCTCTCCCAGTTACCGTGAAGTCAAAATCGTTAGGGTCCAGGGAGGTGTCGCCTACCTTTTCGAAGTACGCAATCAACTCCACTTTAGAGCGAAAGGCTTTTCCCTGGGGACTGTGGGGACAAATGGAGAGATACAAAGAACAGTTAGAAGCATTCCTGGCAATGTCAGAGACAGGGCGGTGTGGATGGTGCCGATGAGCTCTGTGAACAAGAGTCACAACAAAGAAAAGCTGAGGCGGGCTAGAACTGGAGGGGCACAGCCAAGTCAGATGCCACTTTCTGCCCCATGAGCCAGAATCAGGTTGCCAGGGGCACAAGGCACCTGTACGGTCTGCTCACTAGCCAATCCCTGAAGGCAAAAAGGACCTGCCTGAGGCCAAAGCCAAATGTTTGGGAGCCCTGGGCCTATCTACAGCCCTGCAGTAGGGCTGGTGCAGTGCCGGTGCTCAAGCCAACACAATGTTGTCTGAGCTTGCTGGAGGTCTGCTCCCCTTCAGAGGTGTGGTATGAAATGAGGTTCTGGGAAACTGCTAGTTTCTCTGGGCTCATTTAGGGGTGGGGCAGAACTGCCAGTCTAGAGCTGGACGCATGCAAGAAGGATAGCTGGCAAGGCATGCAGGGCCTGTCCAGCTCTCTTCCCAGAGGCCCTTCCCCAGTGCTGATTTTCAAGGAAAGCAACCAGAGTAGGTAGCCTTGCCACTCCATCTCTAGATAAAGTGCACCCTGGCAGGCAGGGCCCTCAGCAGTCTTTGTGGGCACACCTTGCCCAGTGCTCACAGGCTCATTTCCCAGTCAATTCCGAGGGATCTGGGTTCAGCATGCTCCTTCCCTGCCGGCAGGGACAGCATCTACGCTCACTTACTTGATCAAGTAGACATCGTACTTCCCAGCAGAGCGGCCAGACTTCCTCTGCTTAAGCTTCCGCGTCCAGCCCTCTGGTAGGGTGGGGTCATCATACATGGGCCCCCGGTCACGAATGATGGAGCGTCGCTGCTTGGGGGAGGCGGATGCTTCCGGCACAGCTGGGGCAGAGCCCGAGCCCTCTGAGGTCTCTGCCTTGCCTGCTTCTGCAGGCTCCGCAGAGTGGTGCGCCGATGGCTGCAAGGGCTCATGCTTGCCCTCTTTGTCTTCCTTCTTATCTTTCTTCACCTTTTTCAGCTTCAGGGGTTTGTCCTTGAGGCTCTGGAGGTCCTGGTCTTCTGACTTCTCTTCCCTGAAGTGTTAAACAAATATGTGAGTATAAACATGACAGAGAACACACTGCTACAGAAAAGCAAGAGAGGGTAGGCTGAGGACCCCTATGACCTTGGTCAAGGCCCCAGGGCACCACATAGTCAGATCCTGGTGGCTCCCCCATGACGGTGATCTCTTCAGGGACCCAGCACGGCAACAGCAAGGGCAGCCTGTGGGCTCACAACCCTCAGGCCAGCAGAGGCCCAGCCTAGCCTGTGAATGGACGGGGGAAGCCTCCCTGACAAGGTGGGCTTCCTGGAGGTGATGTGGCTCTTTCAAGTGTGCTAATGTGCCCATCAGGTCTGTGCTCAACAACAGACAGCCTGGGAGGCACAGTGTCCCAAGCACCTCAGCCCAAATCTCGGCCCTGCCACTTTGCCAATGTGGACCAAAGCGAGTGACCTCAGCACTTCATGCCTCAGCTGCCTCGCCTCAGCAACAGTAAACACATCTCAGAGGTACCCTTACTATCTCAGTCCCAGTGAACTTGGCACCAGCAGCAGCTGCCCAGGTTTCCAGCATGAGAAGAGAAGGGATCCCAGGTCATGCATGCCTCTACCAGTGGTGGCTGCCTATCTGCCCCTCAGTTCATTGTGCAAAAAGAGTATCACCACACCTGTCCCATGGTTTCATCCCAAGTTCCCCACCCCACACGGCCTGAGTTGACACCAGCCCTTGCCCTGCAGTGGGTCCACTTGGGCAACATCCCTGTTTGCACCATGGAGACAGTGATGAAGGCACTGTGGTATGCACCAGATCCTGAGCTATGCGGCGATGTCACTAAAGGCTGAATGGCTCCAGGACTCTGAAGCTACAGGGCCTAAATTGTCCAGCACAGTAGGGTATATGTGGGGGGGGCAGCAGTGAGTCTCACTGAGTGACAAGGTCTCAGCAACAGGATGCCCTCACTCTGCGCAAGTCCCTCCTTCGCCTGTGTCTTCCTCCAGCAGTGCAGGCCCAGACCAGGGCTGCTGGGGCCCTCCAGAGTCTCCTATGTACAGATACATGGCGCGCTGCACACTGTGCAGGGGACAGGCACAGGGTGGAGAAGGGTGGCAGCTCTCGAGCTCTCATCTGCATCTAGACAGCCTCACCAGCACAGGGCAGACACAGGGTCCCTGGACAAGAGACGGTCTTCCAGCCCTCCACCCCAGGAGGCCTCTTCAGAGACAAACGCCCTACACGCGCAAGGGTTCACCCTGATTCCTGTCACCAAGGGACATGCCAAAGGACTATGGAGCTGGAGGACGGCATGTTGGGGAGCACGTTCCAGGCCCTAAGGGAAGGTGCAGAGCGGAACACAGATGCTTTTCATGCACTACCCAATGTGCAGGACAGCCCGAGGAGAAGGGGCAGGTCAGAAATGAAATGTTGCTATCAGGTGGCCTGCGGCCAGAGGGAATGTGGGAAGAAACATTGCTCAACTCCATCCTGGTAAATGTGACTTGTAAATCACATAAATATTTACATAACAAAAAACAAAATTAAAACAAAATTTCACAAACCCCCATTGCATTACACTGACTGCAGACAGGAAGGAATAAGCTTAACTGCCTACCCAAGGGCAACACACCACAGAGGAAAGGGTCTGAATACTTTTTGACCACAGGGCAGGGATGCACAAGCACCAGAATGGCTCCTGGGAGGACAGGGGATTCTGCCTGTGGGCATCTTGTGGCACCAGAGGAAGAGAGAGGGAAGACTGGCTCCGACACAGCCCTAGCTCAGGAACCCTCCAAGGGCACTGGTAGTCTGATAGGCACTGGTGTGGAGGAGGGACAGATGAAAGACCACGGGTGGGGGTGTCACTGACTGGGACTAAGTGAACTGTTTGGCTCCTTTATGATAAAAATACGTAACAAAATTTACCTTCTTTTGTCTGTTTTTGGGGACAGGGTCTCACCATGCAGTCTGGGCTGGCCTCAAACTCAAGATCATTCTGCCTTGGTCTCCTGAGAGCTAAGATTTAAGGCATGTGCTACCATGCCTGGCTCTAAATTTACTGTTTTAACTATTCCTAAGTGTACAATAACTGCAGCTTTATTAGCATTGAAGATGGGGAATACAGGGCCATTAACTGTAATATCCCAGTTCTTTCAAACTGAAATTATTTCAAGCAAATAATAACCATATGGTGATTTTTAATTCTGTGCATTGAAAGGCACACAGGTGTTTGCTACTGTATTTTCTCACTGCTAATTCTATTTTTTTCTTTTTGGTACCAGGGATCGAACTCTGTACCTTGCACTTGTGAGGAAGGCAGCAGAACCACTGAGCTAAATCCCCGGCCCTCACTGGTAATTCTATATTTGAAAACAAATACTGTATGGAAAGCTCACTGAGCTGTTATCAGACAGGTGATCTAAAGAGTTTCCTCTTGGCAGGTGCCTACTGGGTCTAGATCCCTACTGCCCCTTAGCACAGGATCTGGGGTGTGCTGGGTTGGGCACCCTGGCAAGGTAGGGGCTTATCATAGCTTACACACATGCTTTTATAAGGAAGCCACATGTGCCTTTTCAGCCTCCCTCTGATCAGACTGTATGTGAGTGTACACACACATACATACATACACACACTTTTCTTTTTATAACACTGGAGAGGACTGAACACAGGGTCTTCACAATGAACCCCAACCACAATCCTTTTTAATACATTAAAAATGTTCAGACAGGGTCTTGCTAAGTTGTTCAGGCCAGGCTTGATTTTTTTGAGACAGGGTCTCATTACATAGCCCAGACTGGCCTCAAACTCACAGTGATCCTCTTGCTTCAGCCTCCCAAGTGCTGGGACTAAAGAAGTGTACCACCACAACTGGCAAGCTGGGCTTAAACTTGCAAACCTCCTGGCTCAGCCTCCCAGAACACTGGGATACAGATGCAGACACATAATCTTGACATGATTATGAGAGATGAGTATCTACTTCACATGTTCATAGGTTCAGAGCTGGATGCAGCCTTAGAAGAAAAGAGGAAGTTCAACTGCACAAAAGGGCTTGTCTGTGGGCACTGCTGAGCATGGTGGCTTCGCTGTCACTGCAAACACACCTGTGTGCTCAAGGATTGTCTTTACTATCACCACTGTGCTGCCCCTCCCCAAGGAAAAGTAACCAATGATGGCCCCCTGTGTCACCAGCTCGTCCCATTACACACCTCCCTTTTCAGTGCAGCACCGAGGGCACTGGCAAGTCTCCATAATAAACACATGCCACACAAATACGTACCACCCACATAGTGGGCCTCCACAATGAGCCACAACCCCGGCCACTTTTTACTCTTTATCTTGAGACAAGTCTCACTAAGTAACCTAGTTGCTCAGGCTGGGCTGAACTTGCCATCCTCCTGTTTTAGCCTTCAGAGCAGCGGGATTACAGGCGTGTGACACCACTCCCAGCTCGTGCCTTCTTCTTTTGATGGCTGTATCTCTCTGACCAAAGTTTCTAGCAAGCAGGGTCAAGCTTAGGGCTGAAAGCAGGAAGGCTCTAGGAAGTGAATAAACAAACGATAAGTTTGGAAACTACCAGGAGTCTCTTGGATACCAGTGGCTTGGGATGGCAGGAAATACAACTAGAAGTCGCTGAGGGCCTTGGTGTCACAAAGGTGGCACTATGGAGGGTGGTTATACCAGGATGACAGGCCAGCTCCAGCAATGCGACACACGGCTCTTCTGCTGAAACAACTATAGCACTGAAGAAAACATCTAAAGAGAACACAGCAGAGAAGACAAGATTATGATGTCTTAAGTGCACCGTAACGGGCAAGGATGTAGGAGGCAGATGGCCTGGAGCACCAGGAGACTAACAGTCTCAGACTGGATGTTGCTGGGGGACCCAGGGAAGTGTGAACGAGGCCCCACATGGGTGTATCGCTCCACTTCCTACACATCGGAATGGAAGAGTGCTGTCTGTTCTCAGGAGAGCCGGGCGGGCGGAAGTGTTTAGAGGCTAAGCTTCACAACGACTGTGACTGTGACTAACACTCCAGCAGTGAATGAATCAGGGGATCCATGTGGTGCCAAAGTGATAACATGCTCAAAAGGGGTAAATGACATTGGCATAATAAGAAGCTGCTAGCTGACAGCATTTTGGGTTTTCGCTGCAGTTCTGGGGATGGATCACAGGGCTCGACCACTAAGCTATATTCCTGGCCCCTAAAGTAAAACTGTGAAGCAGCGACAGGTGAGCTTCCCTCCCTCCCTCTGTCAAGTCTCGCTGTGTAGTCTAGGCCAGCCTTGAACTCACCACACAGCCCAGGCTGGCCTCAAACTCCCCAACCTTTTGCCTTGGGCAAGCTCCTGAACAGAAACTGCCTTCCTATTACCCAAAGGATTTAAAAGAAACAGCTGGAAACTTAAGGCCTTCCTGAAGTGGCTTTCCACAGTGTTACACTCTATTGTGAAGCTGCCAAGAGGGAGAGAAGATGTCAAGGGATTTCTCCATGTTTAGGAAAAAAGGAGGCCCTGCCTAGTCTCTGAGTAACCTGCCTATGCAGGAGCCAAGGTGGCAAGGGGCTCAGCAGCATGAAAAGAAATGAAGGGTACCAGTGATCTCAGGCCAAAGGCCAACAGAGCCTGCAGTGTCCCCAGCATTCATGTAACCACAAGTATGAGTACCAGTCACCAAGACACACAAGTGTGGTGTGGTCTGCCACCCAGCCCTAGTGTTTCCCCTAAATGCTCACATTTTTATTGTGTGATCTGCAGAACACAGGATTTTTTCAGGCACACACATATTACATTGGAACAGAAAGGCCTTCATAAATCTTAAATATTGATGAAGCATGTGGTAATATTCTGGAGTAATAATAAAACATCATTCAGTGCTTCCATTGCTAGAATGAAAATGTTAGCTCCAATCCTTCATTTAATGTGGAGAAGGAAAGACAAGAGTGGCAGGAACCGTTCTGGGGTGAACCCTCACATCCTGAGGGGCTGGATGGGAGATGAATCACCCATAGCAGTCCCAGGAAGTACCCCTGGGGCTCA